TTAAGCTTCTCCACTTGCTCCTGGAAGATCCGGATGTGATCCATGAAAGCCACGACGCGGTCCGCGGACATCGGGGAGGCGTGGAGGCCCGCCGCGGCGAGCAGAGGGGCCACATGCAGAGGCATGGAACACTGGGCCGCGTTAAGCACAAACAACTCGCTCCACGTCAGCCTGAGAAGGGACACCTGGTCGGTGATCTGCAGGTCGGGAAAGAAGGGGATGTTTCTCGCCCACTCCACGGCGCTGAAGAGCAAACGAGCCGCCAGCTCGCAGATGTTCTCGATGCCCATGATATTGTTGGGCTGCATGCACTGGCTCCCGTACCGGGACGTCGGGTACGGTTCGGCCCGCAGCAATAACGAGATGTATCCGGACAGATAGCAATGGCCATTCAGAGGGTCCCCGTTCGTCAGCGCGTACTGGCCTGGGTTGGGCTGGGTTGGAGGCATTCGTCCTCGCTGAACCGCTGACAAAAAGAAAGAGAAAAAGAGGAAATGTGCATCCAGGACTGATAAACATTGTTCATGAGTAGTGGGACCGTCAAAGCAAGCTACAGCTAGTGTGTTTCCCCTCAGTGAAAAAAACGGCATGCACTGAAATAAAAAATCAGCACGCTTTGCAAAACATATTGACCACTGTAATCTGATCGTAAGACTATAATATTTCACAGCAAATTATTCTATCGACAGCGTGAGCATCTCATCAAAACAGATGTGCTGTGTCCCTCAAGCTTCACACTGTTTGGAGACTATTTATATTTAAGGATTCAGGCTATACAGCAGGGCAGTGTGCAAATGAAAATACGTCCACTTTTACGCACAAAACATGAAGATTTTTTCGCTCCCCAAAAGTAATTTGAACAAATTTGCCACTAAGGATATTTCAAGGCGCAATTACACATTACTTTCACGTTATATTTATAAGGGGTTTTGTTTATTTAAATAATTATTAATTGTGGCCAATGACGTTACAAATATGATTGATAATTACGACTAAATGCAATCACATTTACTCATTTTGCCCACATCAAAAGGTCAGCTGGGAATAAAAGGATTTCCCCTACTGTTTAATATTAAAAATAAAATATTAATGTCTGCCACTGTGCATTATACATGGGCTTGCAGTGTGTACTGCAAATAATAGACTTAAAATGAGGGATGTCTGCATAAATTGGAATCCAACACTTGACATAGAGAGGAAAGTTATACGGCCTCTAATGCACCAAGACAAAACAATGAGCCATGAACAACTTCAGCGACATTATTCAGTGTGTCTGAGCTGTCTACTCAGCATAAGGAGCCAGAGAGAGACGTGGGTTTGTAGTGTGTTCGTTTTACACTCACACACGCACGGCTTACAAATCCTACTGTACAATTATAAATTAGTAAGCTGCACATACTTAAGGGACTGTTAGAGAAGGGACTATTAGCCCTACACACTGTACACACACACCCAAAACACACACACACACACACACTCTCTCTCTCCCACAGACAGACATACAATCACACACACATTCACACACACTCACATACACGAGCACTCTTCTGCTCTAAAACCTATACGTAAAATGGGCTTGTTGGACCCTGTGCCTTTTGCTTGAGAGCAGTACAGTTAAGACTGCGAGAAAAACAAAATAAAAGGGTCAGCCCAGACGAGCCGCTTTGTTCAGGCGACCTGCATTCACAAACATAGCTGCTGTGGCTGCACTGGCCTTTTAGCCCCTCTCTCACATAGTCAGAAAGACGAAGCATTCATGCAAACATCCCTCAAAAACATGGATGGAGACTGCAGTATGCCCAGCCATATAGCCTGTGACCTTAATGCAACATGGCAGCCCTGCTCGTCTGCTACTAGGATGCGTAATCATGAGTGGGCTTTAAAAATATATATTCACCTTCCCGCCGCATTCCCACTTTTAAACACTTCTTCAGCCGGCAGTATTGGCACTGATTTCGGTGGTGCTGGTCAATGGGACAGTTCCTATTGGCACGACATGAGTATGTTAAGTTCCTCCGTACACTCCTCTTGAAGAAACTTTTGCATCCCTCGCAGGTGAACTGGCCATAGTGTTTGCCGCTCGATTTGTCTCCGCAAACCACACATTCAATATGCTGCTGACTCTGTCCAGAATTTTGACTCCCCTTGTCTCCGGCGGTCCCCGGCGTGGACGGGGGTCCCGGCTGGCTGGGGGTCTGCGGAGTGTGCGGCGCCGCCGACGCCGCCTGCTGCTGCTCCCTCGCCGGCTGCGCTGCTGGGTTGGGGCCGCTCGGAGGTCCTCCGGCCACGTCTTCCTGCGGATCTCGCCAGACGCTAACTACCATTGCCATATCTCGGCCCCGGAAAGTGCTATAAAGCGAAATGATCGCCGATGTTTATGAAGCGTAGAGGAGAAAAATGAGATCTCAAAAGACGGGGCAGTGCAAAGTCAAATCGGAGCACGCAATCTCATATGGGGTAAGAAGGGGAGTACAACGCGATCAATACATTCAAAATACAGGAGGGCGATTGAATAGGCACCCGATCAGGATATGCAAGTATCGGGAGGCCAGTTCCAAGGTAAATTGCAGTCAGCCATTCAGGAATCCCTAATCTTGTAGGAAAACCCGAGTCCAGACGAAGCAAATTGCAGTTTGATAAAAAATAGCCACAAAGAAAAAAAGGCAGGAGCGATTCACATGGACGCAGGAACGAGTAAAAAAAAAAACCTTTTTGCTGGAAAGACACGCGATCCAAAGTGCTGCGGAGATAAATTCCTTTCTCTTCTCTTCCCCTTGCTCCTTTACACTCCCGTCTTCGCCGTATAGGAGGGGAGGAAAAACTGAAGAGCTGGATTTTTACATCTATATTCTTAAATAAAGCTCATCATCTCGCCCAGCAGCGAAAGAAAACCGCGTCGCCGAATGAAGTGCCCATGTATAGTTTCACCTCTCTCCAGCAGGAGGAATGGAGATACGAAGAGAAAAGATAAAAAAAGAAGAGGAAAAACACCAACAACTAATAGAATATGCAAGAAGAAGGAGAGACCCAAAAATGAATGCGCTTAAACGGGAGGACCAGCAGAGCAATGTTTCCGAAACGGGGGATCTGCGCGAATGTCTGTATATAGTGAACTTTGACACTACTATTGAAACTGACACGTTTCTATGGAGATCGCTGCGCCTTATATGGTGCTCATGTCAAGGAGCCAAGAGAGGGGCTGCTGGAGACTGATAATCAAAGGCGACTGACTGGCCAGAGCCCTGCATAGAGGAGGAGGAGAGGAGGAGAGGGGGGGATAGGGAGAGAGAAAATGGGAGGCTAAGGTTATAGCCAAGCCCTCTCTTTCTCTCCATTGGTTAGAGTCCCCCTCCGTTCATTCACTGCAAAAAATGTCCATCCCAATAAGTCACTGGGTCTCGTGTTCGAATGTTCGAATGTCATCTTTTTGCGGAAAATAAAGTGTAGAAACATCAAGTGCACTTTACAGATTTCCACTTGTTTCCCATCTCGCTCCGATTCGTTTGTGCGTTTTTTTTTTTTAATGGAGTCAGTATCATGAAATAAAGCGGAGCGCGCAGGGAGATTCCGTTAGAAATTAACAGTCGGTGTAATAAAATTTACAGTGATGGATCGATTGGTTTTGGAAACAAGTAGAAGCATCTCGCCTCGAGACGGAAGATTCATCTTCCCGTTTTCGCAAATCCAAGATTTCCAGACTCAACGCTGAACCGGCTGATGTCTGAGGATGGATATTTTTTGCAGTGTTGCCATCTACGACTGGAGGGGCTGGGGGGCTCTGACAGGCACAATTTACATTGAGCTCGCCCCGCGCTGCTATTTACTTTGAAACCTGATTAGTATGGGCCGTCTATTGTCACCAAAAAGAGGAAGAAACCCTGGATAGAATAGCAAAAAAAGCGGGGTAAAGGCAAGGGGGGACAAAGCTTTTACGCACGACAAATAAACCAAAAACTGTGCGCAGCGGTGAAAGGGGGATTCTGTTTCCGAAATTCCCCAAAGTTTCAAAATGGTTTGCTTCGGACTGTTATCTTTATTATAAAATTAACGGATGTCATTGTTGGCTTGAAGTGGATTTATATATATACACGTTGTTTTGTCCTTGGCATGCGCATTGCGGTACATCGTCGCCTGTAATCGGCACAATCTCGCTGATTAAAACTTAGAATTTAGTTTAAACCAGTTTATAAAAGGAGGAAAATGTCACTGGGAAGAATGATGCATAAAAGACAGTATGTTATACAAACGGGATGCTTTGCCAGCGGCCGAAAATCTCTAAAATTAGACGGAGGAATAAGCAATATTCAATAATTACCAAGGTCCTATAGTCTCCACAATCACTGAGCTGGTGTCACATTATGTCTTAATAATGACAGTAATTCAAAATCATGTGAAGTTACTGGGAATTTGCATGGGGATTCCGGCTTTTTTGTACCAGGGTTTCTGCAGGCTTACTACCTCTCCAACTCAAAAATGTCTGGATCGCGCTGCCATCTAGCGTACATTGTACAATTACAGCCTCATATTAATGCATGTCCAAGTCATCAAACATGCATTTTTTAAACTTAAAAGATGGTTTTAAAAAATAAAACAAGGACAAGTTTTGCGCATTGTTATCCTTTGTCTTTTTGGGAGTTTCCGAAATGTATAGTTGTTTTTATCTTAAAGTTGCAGAACGGAGGAAAAAACTTTCAAAAACCTACAACAAATGTGGGTTAAACTAGAATAAAGCAAAATAGTCTCAAAAGTAGACTAACATTTTAACCGCATGCGATTTTAGACGGAACTTAAACCCAAAATGACGTGCGTAAATCATCTCCAAAAACATGGTAATATCCACGCTGGGAAAGGAGTAACTATCCATAATACATACAATTATCGTTTAATAAAATAAACAAAGTGCTTGTGTACAGATCTTTAAGCACATGGAGATATTAGCAGGTATAATGGAGCGTTAATATGCAAGTGCCCCCTTTGAAAACGCATAGGAGGGATGGGTTGTTTTTTAAGTATTCAACAAGAGAGCTCTCTCTCCCGTCCCTGTCTCGGACACTCCACTGAAACTCCCCGGCCATGTCTCCAGCTCTTTGAAAAGGTGAAACCAATAAGATTAAATCGGACAAAGATTTTTTTTCTGTAAGTGTATCATTAAGATTTAACTCCACAGATTGGAAAAAAGGGGCTCCGCAGGAGAAGAGGAGAGGAGAGTGAGAGTGAGAGGGACAGCGAATAGGAGCAGGGTAGAGGCTCTAATAGAAATCTGGGGAAACGCCGAGAGAAAAAGGAGAAAGTGGACGGCAGGGCATTAAAAGAAGAAGCACCGGCGACTGCGGTTTGCAGTGGAGGAGCAGCTTTGTACCTGGATGAAAAACCCCGCCGTCGATGAGGCAAGTACACTATTTATTTCTGCACTTCTCCTACGCTGCACACGCATGGCTCTAAACGCAAGGTTAAATTCTCTGTCACGCCACATGACCGTTTACTTCAAAGCGCGCAGAAGGACCCGGGTCGTGTCAGAGTCACAACTTTTTTTAACTAGTGGACAGTCGCCTTCTTTTCTCCACATTATCGCTGATTATCGAGGCTCGTTTCCCTCTTTTTCTCCCAGCGCTCCCTGCAGATCTGCACATCAGATAGTAGTAATGTTATTACAGGCTGGTTGTAGCACCGCTCGACATGGGAGCCCTCTCTTTTTTTTTTCCTTTTTTTTTTGTTGCACGTCCCGCGCACCTCACCTGCGAGGCTATTTGTTGGTTGAACACATAATGAAAAGATCGATAGCAGTCTGTTTGTCTCAGCGATAGTGTCACCGGATTAAAAGGCTGATCAAGGAGACCAGACGTTTCCCATCTTTTACACTCTTTTCCAAGTGCCAGTTTAGCCAGTGCACAACCACGACATGCAAATATTATAGACTTGGGACTCCAAAAAAAAAAAAAAAAAATCCAATGAAAAAGCAAGAACGCGTTGTGTGCGAGAAAAGGTTGCAGCGAGGAAATGTTACATGACATGCAACGTGATTTATCAAAGCAGCATTATTGATGTGAAGGGACTGTAATGAAAAGTGATATAAAATAAATGACGTGCAATGTAGGCCAGGTTAACTTATTCCAGGACGAAGCGCACAACGAAGAGCTTTGTAAAAATAACCTTACATAATAGCGTTTCACTTAATCCTCCCATGGCCAAAGAAAGTTTATGCTAATTCATAATTTTACGCAAGCCAAAGGAAATTAATTGTTCCTGTCCTATTCAAGTTTTCTACTTTTCTAATTTGATCAGAAAAATATGCCTGCCTCTATAAAATATGAACTTATTGAAAACATGCACAGAATTACATAATCACATTATTAAACATGTCATCCCGGTGATGAATGCATTTGCGCACTAAAAAGAAGCCGTGATGGTTTGCTTTGCAACAGATAATTAGTGGAATACAGATGACGAATCTGACTTTTTTTTCTCTCCTCCACTTGAAACTAAATTGAATAAACCACAAATAGATTTTCTATGACTGCTTAAATTTCCCCTTGTAGGATAGTTTTGTCAAAGGACCTTCTTGTTTAAACATTTATAAGAGTAGGAAGCACAGTGCAGTTTTGCCAAATCTGTGATCAATAACTGATGCCCTCTGTAAACAGATTCAGACTTTATAAGACTCACAAAATGCAGCTTCTTTTTTTTTTTTGTAAAGCTGAAACCAACAAGCAGCTACAATCAGTTGGGAAAACACTGAGGTCATAAGTGCAAGGCCCCCTAATAAAACAAGAGATCACCACAAGAGCGCATTTTTAGAGCGTTTAAAACGATGCAAACGGATGTAGAGATTTATAAATGGGCGAGGGTCTGTTTATTATTGATTGTGTGTAATCACATCAGGGTTATAACCACAGAATATAGTCAATAAGATGTTGTATTGGCTTAGAGGCTGATTCTTTTTTCCAGGGGCCTCTGCTCAAAATGCCTCCTGTGTACACACGAGTGTTATGTTTCTGGGCGCCGGGCTAAAGGGCCACATGCAGCTGATCCCTGCGACTTTAACACCTGCCTGCAAAATTGAAATAATTAAACAACTAAAACGATTTAAGCTGACGGGCACCTTAACGCGGTGGACGCAGGCATCGCCTCACAGCTCCAGTGGTGGTCCTGCCTGCTGGTCTGAACACTGATTAATAGTCAAATCCAGCATAAGATGCAGCAACGTTCAACTTTACTCTGTGTTTCTGTGCAGCACGGAAAAGTTGGTCACAAAAGTTATTTTCACTAAACATAACGCTGAGTTTGTGGGTGAACTTCTGCCAGTGCCATGACACGGGTTCACCTGTTAGCGGAGACGGTGAGTGTGTGTTTTATTAACTGTCCGAGCAGAGAAGATCAATAATATCAGACCAATGTGTTTTACATTTGTCAATAAAGACAACATACATTTTAGTCTCTTGTTTATCTTTCAATAATATATTTTGAGCATGATTATTTTGGGGGAAATGGACTTCCAACCTAATTGTTTCCTTCGTGTAAACTACCACAGCATGTGATTTGTGAAACCGTCAAATATAAAATGACATGAAGGCCTTTGACCTGAATGAAGCACCTTTGATATTTTGACCTAGAAGCAGCAGCCTAGAAGCTACAATGCAATTCCCTACCACCTTAATAGTCTGTCACTGAAAATCACATACTACCTACTTGCAAAAAACATGACAGTGTTTACTTTGTTTTCCAAAATGCTCATTAAAAATAAAAATCTAACTCATCCTTATGTTTGAATTGATGGTTTTGTTGCTTTGAGTGGTTGTGTGTTGAAAAAAGGAGG